GATGACTGCGGGCGGTAGTGTCGGCGGTAGTAACGACCACACCACTCGATTCTCGTGTCACTGCAGGGCTGATGGAAGAAGTTGCCGCGAATGTAGTGACGGTGGTAGTGGCGGTCTGCTTGTGGCCGTTCCGCCGGCGGTGGCAACTACGTCGTTGGCTGTAGCGGCAGTGGTAGGGTCGGTGAGGAGGGCGGAGCCGTGAGGCTGTCCGATGGAGTCGTCTGTCCTTCCCTTCGTGCGAAGCGATAGGAAAGGGGTCTAAGCGCCGTGCGAGGGTGGCCCTAACGCCACCGAAAGAACAGTGAACGCGCGGGCGCTGTTTGGAGTTGGAAGGACGAGCGGTGGCCTGGGCCGGCGAGCTGCGAGAGAAGAAGAGGGAGGATGTTTGGCAGAGTTGTGCGGGGAGCTTCCGGATGACGTTTGTTTTGTCGGATACGCGCTTGAGAGAAGGAAGAGTCGAGAGGACTGACGAGGCGTGAGCTGGACAATGGGCTGAATGCGGTGGAGAATGTACGTTCTCACTGAGTACTGGAGAGTAGAATTCACTGCTGTGCGATATGGGAGCTGGTACTTTCGCAAAGAAATTACAAATATGGTACAATGATCCGGTCATATGTTATTTTTTCAATTACGTTCTTAAAAATGTGAATTTTAATTTGTTTGTAATATAATTAATTTTTTAAAAGAAGATAGAGTGTATGATGGGTTATATTTTAAATGTTGTGTTTATTAATATTGTGATGCTCTAAAATCATTTATAAAGATTCCTTGTTGAAAATGCATAGTAAAGGACAGAGACAAAATTACTAACGCGTTCCTATCTGTAAATGTAATGTATTTTTTTGATAAACGATATGATGCAAATAGCGTTTCTTGAGAACTTATTCTGAAGGTAGACCTATTGCTCACTAATCTGTATTTAGAATCCTCTACTCCCGAATCTGTATTACCTTCTTATCCGTTTACAATTAATTATCGAAACCTACACAACGCAGATTCTAGAACTGAAACGCATGTGTTATTTCTACTTTAAAGAGCATACATTGGTTGGACTAAGGAATTATATACCATTCGAAGAGAAGCAGGAAAATTAACTAACTGCATCAGCAATATTGTCAATGAGGGATAAATATCAATTGAGCTTGTATTATCTATCACTGGTTTTCATTCGCAGGAACTAATTGTTGATATCAAATGCTCTACGCAGCGAATCACAAATACACCGGTAGGTCATTAATAAATCTTTGCTTGGGTATATTCACATTCGGAATATACTTGGTATTTGCGACATCTCCATCTGCATATTTGCCTGTCCTCTTGCACGTCCACCGATGCCAGTTTCATGGTCAACAACTTATGAAGGCAGAATATACTGTTCTTGATTTAGGTTTTATCTATGTTCTTGCATGATATAACACAAGTGATTATAATTAACTATTATTATGAACAGTAATTAAAAAATGTTTTCATTGGGAATCTCTATTCGACGACAGTGGCTGTTAACGTTGGGATATAATGTTGAGCTGATCTCGTGTCAAAACGTCTATCGTTGTATTAGAAGTATACATATATGAATACAAATTAAAAAATAAAATACATTAATTTGTAAATTTATTCAATTACAAAATTACCGAAGTCTGGGTTGGCTGACACTAGCTTATTAAAATTTAAAATAACCTTAGAATCTCTTATTTTAGTTTAATATCTAGTTCTATGTCATTTTTATATTTCCAGTTCATTGATCACCGAAACGAAAGGCGAGAATCTCTAGAGAAAATCGAGTGATCTAAAATGATTTCTTAATTTTAGAAAAAGGCCGATCATTCCCCTTTAACCGTTAATGCTATCAATATTTATTATTCTGGAAAAAATAACGTTTTGATTCGATACTGGGACATATCACCAATATTTTCTATTTTACATTCTCACCCTATTGCCAAATGACAGGAATTGGACACTTTGAAGGATTTTTTTCCGACATCCCAAACCCGCGAAGATAGTAATCCGCTCAAAACTAGTTGGAAAGGTATGAACATACATTTCAGCATACAGATTTGTTTGCAATACATTACTGTTACATATTTTATATAGTGATATATTATTATAATTCGTAGATTTCCAACTTAAAAATACAACGTCCGAAAAGTGACACTTTCAAACTCTTCTCCAAAATGGTGGGGACGTGTTTCGTCTGGAGAAACTGTGGTACAATTATGTCGATTCAAAAAATAATATATTTATATATATA